TGGTCTTGAACTAATGAGCTCAAGCAATCTGCCTGCTTCGGCCTCCTAAAGTGCTGGGATTACAGGCATGAGCCACTGCACCTGGACTTGTTTCATTAAATAGGTTTTCTAACACTGATTTTCTCTTTGCCTTCTGCTTTATGGTATTCCATATGTCACATAGGCTTTGCTTATTTCTTTATTTTTATCTGACTAGGTTATTTCCAAAGACCTGTCTTCAAATTCTGTGATTTTTTTTTTCCTTCTGCTTGATCTAGTCTATTGTTGAAACTTTCAAATGTATTTGATTTGATTTGATTAACTCTTCAGGTCCAGATTTTGTTTGGTTCTTTTGTATTATCTCTATCTCTTTGGTGAATTTCTCTCATTCATGTCCTGAATTGTTTTCTAATTTCGGGTATTGTATTTCTGTATCCTCTTGTAACTCATTAAACTTCTTTAGAATAAACAATTTGAATTCTTTTTCTGGAATTTCATACATATCTTTTTTTTTTTTTTTTTTTTTGAGACAGAGTTTCTCTCTTGTTACCCAGGCTGGAGTGCAATGGCATGATCTTGGCTCACCGCAACCTCCACCTCCTGGGTTCAGGCAATTCTCCTGCCTCAGCCTCCAGAGTAGCTGGGATTACATGCATGTGCCACCATGCCCAGCTAATTTTTTGTATTTTTAGTAGAGACGGGGTTTTACCATGTTGACCAGGATGGTCTCGATCTCTTAACGTCGTGATCCACCCACCTTCGGCCTCCCAAAGTGCTGGGATTACAGGCTTGAGCCACCGCACCTGGCCTCATGAATATCTTTTTGATTGAAATCTGCTGCTGGAGAATTATTATGTTCCTTTGCAGGCATCATATTTTTCTGCTTTTCCATGTTTCTTGTGTCCTTATGTTGATACCTGTATATCAGGTATAACAGTTGCTTCTTTCAATTTTTTGGTTTTACTTTCTTAGGGGAGAAATTTGTCCTCCCCTGTGAAAGCAAGGTGTATCTATGATGTTGGTTATGTAGGGTGCTTTGGCTTTGATTCTGGGTTTGTACATTAATGTAGTCTCCATATGATTTCTTCTGCTGGAACCAGTGTCAGTAGTATCTGTGGCTTCCCCAGCAGCTTCGGATGTGGTTGTTAATGGAGGCCGTGGTGAAGTTTTCCTGGGCACTGGGATACCAGGTGGGCCAGTCTTCAGGCCCCAGTGGTGACAGAGGTGGGCTGGGCATATCTGTCCTTGGTCCCAAGACAGCATACACTGGCGCTGGTGTTAATGTGTCCAGGCAGGCTGGTTCTTGGGCCTCCAGGTGTCTTGCTTAGGTGCTAGGAATGTTAGTGGCTAACCAGGTAGGTAGGCAGATTCTTAGGCCCCTAAGTAGCAGATACAGCATGGGTATTGGCACTGTCAGTGGCAGGACCACACTCTGGGTCCCAAGCAGCTTGCGCTGGTGTTGGTACTGGTTGCAATGGACTGTGCAGGCCAGTCCCTAGGCCTGTAGGTGGTACATGAGGGTGGGATGCCATCTATGATAGTAGCAGCAGAGTGGGTAGGCCCAACCTCAGGCCCCTGGGAGGAATACTGTGGTGCCAGTGGTGAGGGACTCTGCTGAGCAATCACCAGGCCCCAAACGACATGCTCAAGTACTGGACTGGGAGAGAGGTGGCCTGTGCAGACATGTTCTTCGACTCTCTAGTGGTGCATGCAGTATTTGGTTGTGATAGGCAGGGGTGAAGCAATCCCCAGGCTACTGATAGAAAGCTCAGGTGGAGGCAGCACTGCTGCCTGCTACTGCAGAGGATGGGATTGCTTTTGGTGGGAGCAACCAAAAGCAGCCAGCTGGGGCAGGGAAATATTTTGCTCATGCTTTGGCCTTAGCAGCAGCAGTTTATAATAGCAATAGCTGCGGACAGTGGAGTTTGTCCTTAAACATGTGTTTAAGGACACATAAACATGTGTGAGCACCTGTCTGCCGGCTGGGGGTGGGGCAGGGGGGCTGCCAGTGGCTCCAGTCTTGGCCCTGGCAGCAGCAGCCAGCAGCAGTGCTGGCTACACACAGGGCGTGTCAAAGAGGCTCCAGAGACTTGGAGACACAGGGGCTGCTGGGCTCTAGGCCAAGATACAGTCTAGTAGGGGCTGAGCCCTCAAAGTAGCACTGTGCTGTAGCGGTAGGGCTCAGGGGTGTGTGGGACTCAGCACAAGGTCCCTCTCTGGAGCAGTGCCATTGCACAGTATACAGGCAGCCCTCGATGTTAGTCTCAGGGCCTGTGAGGGTTGGGAGCTCTCCCATGAATAGGCTGCAGGAGTCTGCAGTGGAAATATGGACCACTTACCCTTTCCCCACACTTGGGGAGCCTCTCCAGGCTCCCAGTCAGTCTCAGCCAAAAAGAGTGCCTCATTTCCCTCTCCTTCCTTGCTTTAAGTGTTTTCTGTTACTACTCTGTTGAATTCTAGTGTTCTCTCTTAAATGATCAATTCCAAATGTAGCTTGTCTACTCACTATTTTTGTTCCTTTTTTTGTGGAAGAGATGAGTGCCAGATGCATCTACTCAGCCATCTTGAAGCCCCTCCTCTCTTCAAAAACTGGTAGTTTTTTTCAATCCTGCCATTGGCATATATGTGTAAGAAACACCAGTGACTTTACTCTGCAGTTTGTAATTGATTCTGATGGCTTGGGGTTGTATTGACTAAAAGGATTATCAAATGAATTCCCTGCTATGGGAGACTGAAGCATTTATTCACTGTAATCAACACAATTAGATTCTTACTGTCTTAGCTCAGATGCCATAGCAAAATAATACAAACTGTGAGGCTTAAACACCAAACATTTATTTCTCACAGTTCTGGAGGCTGGGAAGTTCAAGACCAAGGTGCTGAAAGACTCAGTATTTGGTGAGAACTCTCTTTCTGGCCTGCACTCACTATCTTCTTTCTGTATCCACACGTGGCAAGGAGACAGAAATCAAGTTTCTTTTTCTTCTCATAGGAGCAATAATCCCATCATAGGGGCCCCACTCTCTTGATCTCATCTAAATCTAAGCACATCTCAAAGCCCTCGCCTCTTAGCCCTAATCCATCATATTGAGGATTAGGGCTTCAGTATATGAATTTGAGGGGACTCAAACATTCGATTCATAGCAGTGACCAAACATTTTTATTGTTTCAACCCAAATCAGAGGACTCTGTTATCATGGGATTATGGCAATATTGTCATGGGATGATAAAGACAGATGAACTATTGAATTGGCTCTGTGATGGCCAGTTCAATCATTCTATGCAGTGATTGCCTAACCTATACTGCAGAGTGTGGTTTAAAGCAGCTGACTTCTCTATTTGCATAGCTCCTTTCACCTTAGAAGAACTTTCTTGTAAATTATCTCATTTGATAAGTTTTCTGTAGCATAAACTTACAAAGTATTTTCCTCACTTGGCCCTTCTGAATGGTAGGCAACATTATACAATATTAGGACAAAGACCTTCAGCTCACCTTACCGTGACTACTGCTTAGACAGGTAAGTAAAGGTTTTTCAGTCATCAAGTCAGTAGTACTTTCCCATCCTGATGGTTTTTCTTTTCCTTTATTTTTATTTATTTATTTTTTTTGTCACAGTTTTGCTCTCATTGCCCAGGCTGATGTGCAATGGTACAATCTTGGCTCGCTGCAACCTGTGCTTCCTGGGTTCAAGCGATTCTCTTGCCTCAGCCTCCCAAGTAGCTAGAATTACAGGCATGCACCACCATGCCTGGCTAATTTTTGTATGTTTAGTAAAGACAGGGTTTCACCATGTTGATAAGGCTGACCTTAAACTCCTCAAACTACCTCAAACTCCTGACCTCTGGTGATCTGCCCTCCTCAGCCTCCTAAAGTATTGGGATTACAGGCATGAGCCACTACACCCAGCCAGGATGGTTTTTCAGTATACTCTGAGGTTCAAATAGAATAGAGTCGTTTACAGTTTGACCTTAGAGAAAGCTCTACAGATGTATGTAATAAGTTTAAATATTGATGTCATTTCCTTAGTCCCTAAGGGAACTGCCCCTTGAGAATTTTACTTTACCGATAAGACATGCATCATATTTTTATTTAGAGTCCAGGAGGATTTCTGTCAGATAATTTCAAAAGCAGATTCAGCTCTATGCAGAATTGGAGGCCTTATACTGTAATCTGAGCAATCAATTCATTTTCAAAGATTTATTTTCCATTAATAAGTAAACTTTTATTTAAATTATAGGACATAGACAGGGTGCAGTGGCTCACACCTGTAATCCCAGGACTTTGGAAGGCTGAGACAGGTGAATCACTGGAGGCCAGGAGTTTGAGACCAGCCTGGCCAACATGGTGAAACCCTACCTCTACTAAAATACAAAGATTAGCTTTATATGGTGGCACACACCTGTAATCCCAGCTACTCTGAAGGCTGAGGCATGAGAATTGCTTGAACCTGGGAGGTGGGGGTTGCAGTGAGCTGAGATGGTGCCACTGCACTCCAGCCTGGGCAATGGGGCAAGACTCCATCTCAAAAAAAAAAAAAAAAAAAAAAAAAAAAAAAAAAATTAGGACACAGACTGCATTTCTTTACATCTAAAAGTTCTGTATGGCATGTACTTAATTTTTAGTAAATGTGAATTCAAATGTATTCAGACATTTTATTAAAATATTATTATATCCTGTAGGAGATGTCCTGGAATATCACATGACTTAGCTTGGAAAATCACCCTTAATGTGAGGAAGCTTCCTAATGCCCTTTGCTTAGGTGTGTCTAAAATGTCTGATCAATGCAAAACTGCCTACTTTTGTGCGAGGTTTTTCTCTGAGCTCTGATTTCATGTTCAATATACTCCCAGCTTGAGCTTCATTTATGTTAAATCAATGCTCTGTCACACTTAGCTTGGAGGCCAAGTATAGTGGATCAAGCTTATTACAGATGTATCTAGGAATAATTTAAAAATTATTGACACTATAACATACTAACTTTGTCTCCATGGTAATCTCAATTTTGTATCTGTTCCCATAGGTGATCATGAGGAATTAGAACTCTCAGGAGATACAGCTGAGGCATCAGAAATATCAAATGAAGAGACTGTTCTACATGCTGCAGTGACCACCACAGAAACATTAACAGCAAATATAAATTCTACCGACATTTCCCCAGACGAAAATCAGTTAGAGTTTACACTAATGGTGTTGATCCCATTGATTTTATTGGTCTTCTTACTTTTATCCGTGGTATTCTTTGCAACATGCTATAAAAGAAAAAGAACTAAACAAGGTAAGTATTTGGTGTATTTGCATTTTCAAAAAATTGTTTCACATGTTAGGAATCAATAAAACAAAATATTCTTTGCTTTTATACAGAACCTTCTAGCCAAGGATCTCAGAGTGCTTTACAGACATGTGAGTATTATCCTAAAACCTGCTTACAGTTGGGGGTGGGATTGGAGAAGGAGCTGAGATGTTTTAAAGTTAAGCAACAAGAACTATATACAACAGTAAGTGATAAGCAATGTATTTTAATGAAACTTTCCAGAAGTGAATACATGCATATTCCTTTCCTTAAAAAAAAAAAGTTTTCAGCCTAAATTGAATTTTAAAATACAGGCACACCTTGTTTTGTTGTATGTTGCTTTATTGCACTTTACAGGTATTGCTTTTTTTCTCTTTAAAAAATTGAAGTTTTGTGATCGCACTTGCATTAAACCAGTCTAACAGTACCATTTTTTTTCAACAGCAGGTGTTTACTTTGTGTCTCTGCATTACATTTTGATAATTTCCACAATATTTCCAATGTTTTCAATATTACTGTGCCTCTTATGGTGATCTGTGATCAGTGATCTTTGATGTTACTGTTGTAATTGTTTTGGGGTGACTGAAACCACGCTCATGGAAGACAGTGAACTTAATTGATAAACATTGTGTGTGTTCTGACTGCTTCGCCAACAGGCCATTCCCCCATCTCTCTCCCTGTCTTCAGGACTCTCTATTTCCTGATACAGAACAATATTGAAATTATGCCATTTCATAACCCTACAATGGCATCTAAGTGCTCAAATGAAAGGAAGAGTCACATATCTCTTACTTTAAGTGACAAGCTAGAAATGATCAAGCCTTGTGAGGAAGACAAGTGGAAAGCTGAGATAGGCTGAAAACTAGGCCTCTTGTGCCAAACATTTAACCAAGCTGTAAATACAAAGAAAAAGTTCTTGCAGGAAACTAAAAGCAAAGCTGTATTATTGTTGATATACAGAAAGTTTTAGTGGTCTGGGTAGAAAATCAAATAAGTCACAGCATTCCTTTAAGCCTAAGCCTAATCCAGAGCAAGGCCCTAATTCTCTAATTCTACGAAGGCTGAGAGAGGTGAGGAAGCTGCAAAGGAAAAATTGGAAGCTAGCAGTGGGTGGTTCATGAGGTTTAAGGGACAAAGCCATTTCTATAACATAAAAGTACAAGATGAAGCAGCAAGCACTGATGTAGAGCTGCAGAAAGTTGTCCAGAGGACCTAGTTCAAATCATTGATGAAGGTGGCTGCACTCAACCATAGATTTTTGATGTAGATGAAACAGCCCTCTATTAAAAGAAGATGCCATCTGGCTGGGCATGGTGACTCACGCCTGTAATTCCAGCACTGTGGGAGGCTGAGGTGGATCATTTGAGGTCAGGAGTTTGAGATCAGTCTGGCCAACATGGTGAAACCCTGTCTGTACTTAAAAAAAAAAAAAAAAAAAAAAAAAGTGTCATCTAAGACTTTAAAAGCTCGAGAGGAGAAGTCATTGCCTGGCTTCAAAGTTTCAAAAGATATGTTGACTCCCTTGTTAGAAGCTAATGCAGTTGATGACTTTAAGTTAAAACCAATTCTTATTTATCATTCTGAAAATCTGACACCCCTTAAGAATTATGCTAAATCTACTCTGCCTGTGCTCTGTAAGTGAAGCAACCAAGCCTGGATGTCAGCACATTTGTTTATAGCATAGTTTACTGAATATTTTAAGCCCACTATTAAGACCTACTGCTCAAAATACAAGATTCCACTAAAAGTATTACTGCTCATTGACAATGCACCTGGTCATCAAGAGCCCTGATGGAGATGTACAAGATGACTAATGTTGCTTTCATGCCTGCTAATACAGCATCCATTCTGCAGCCCATGGATTAAGAAGTCATTTTGAATGTCAAGTCTTATTGTTTAAGACATACATGTTGTAAGGCTGTAGCTGCCATAGATGGTGAGTCCTCTGATAAATCTAGGAAGAAATCTTCTGGGAAGAATTCACCACTCTAGATGCCATTAGGAACATTTCCACTTCATAGGAGGAAGTCAAAATATCAGCATCAACAGGATTTTGGAAGAAGTTGGTTCCAACCCCCATGGATGACTTTGAGGGGTTCAAGTCTTGAGTGGAGAGGTCGCCACAGATGTGATAGAAATAGCAAGAGAACTAGAATAAGAAGTGAAGCCTGAAGATGTCATGGAATTGCTGCAATCTAATAATAAAACATCAAGTTGCCAAGAAACTGCTTCTTCTGAATGAACAAAGAAAATGTTTTTTGAGATGTCTTCTACTCCTGGTGAAGATGCCATGAACACTGTTGAAATGAAAACAGAGGATTTAGAATATTCCATAAACTTAGTTGGTAGACCAGCGGCAGGATTTGTGAGAATCGTCTCCAATTGTAAAGAATTTTATTTTGGGTAAAATGCTCTCAAACAGCATCATATGCTACAGAGAAATCTTTGTGAAAGAGAGTCAATCAATGTGACAAATTTCATTGTGATCTTACTATAAGACATTGCCACACAGCCTTCCCAACCATCAGTAACCACCACCCTGATTAGTCAGCAGCCATCAACATCAAGTCAGGACCTGCCACCAGAAAAATAATTATAACTCGCTGAAGGCTCAGATAATCATTAGCATTTTTAGCAATAAAATATTTTAAATTAAGGTATGTACATTGTCTCTGCAGACACAATGTTGTTGCACACTTAGTAGACTACATTATAGGAAAAACACAACTTTTTATGTATTTGGGAACCAAAAAAATTAATGTGACTTGCTTTATTGCAATACTCACTTTGTTGCAGTGATCAGGACCTGAACCTGCATATTCCTGGGAGATGCTTTTCTATTGCTGCCATCTTTGTTCCCAATCCAGATGAGAGTCCCGTATAATTTTGGCCAATACCCATCACTGCAGAAAGGGAAAGGCTGATCAAGGAGTGGGTCAGATTAGGGTTAGGGATGGGAAAGCTAGAGGGCTTGGGGAGATCACCACTGGAAGAGCATTCTTCCATCTATACTTCTGTCACAGATTTTATTTTCTCCCCCACCCCATATCCTGATTTGATCTTGAAAAGTCCTGGAGAATGCATTGTCCTTGTTCCCATTGAAGCTATGCTAACTTTTATAATCAAATTCTCCAACCATCTAAAGATTGCTAACATCAATCTGAAAACCAATTAGATAGAAAAGTCCCTCCGTCAGAGACCCACTTTGAGAGTATTCAGTTCTGATTCAAGAAGCATCAGGTGCAAGGATTCAGGGTCGTTCTAGATCCAAAGCAGACTTGGATTTTTTTGACTTGTGCTAGTAAAACTCACTCTGATTATATTTTTAAGTTGAAGTCTTTCTAGTCTTTCCAAAAAGTTACTCAAAGGATAGGAACTTCTCTAAGATGATACGTAGTCATACATATATACAAAACTCACTTTATGTCCCTCACGTTCACTACAGAGCACCTCTGACTTTGGGGCCATGGCCTTGTCCCACATGCCTCTCTCACTGTCCCTATGCTAGAGGAACCTTTCACAGCCAGCGGATGAGGCCAATGCGAGCTGGGGAAGAAGCCCTGAAGAATATTTCCTTTCATGGCAGAGGCTGGTATAATAGATTTCAAGGAAGTAGGAAATACACATGTTTCTCCACTGCTTGAAATTTCAGGATTTCCTAATAACATGGTCATATGGAGACTCCTTTCTAAGCTTAAAAAAAAAAAAAAAAAAAAAAAAAAAAAAGAGCATTTTAATTTTTTTTAAATTCAGGGAAAGTCATCATTTCCTTCCCCAAACATGGCCCCACTGCTGATTTTGCCTAATGGAGTCAAGGGGTGAGGGATGGAGGTATCCCCTCACATCATGAGTCTCTTAGGCTCCAAGTTCGGTTTCATTGAATTTCTCTGTGAAAGTCTCATGGTTCAAAAGCCATTTACAAGTGAGAGCCAGCCTCAACCTCGGACATGGCCCATGTATCCTGCACCGTCACCACACTTGAAGTATTTGCTGTTCCCAGAACGTGGCTTGACTTTCAGGATACCTCCATGCCTGGTGGATACTATTTCTTCTGTCTGGAATTTCCTTCTTGTCTGCTTGGCAAACTGCCACCCCATTTTCCAGGGCCCAGGTCTGTTTTTGTTTTATTTAAGAGACAGGGCCTTGCTCTGTCACCCAGGCTAGAATGCGGTGGCACAATCATAGCTCACTGCTATCTCAATCTCATGGGCTCAAGCAATCCTCCCACCTCAGCCTCCAGAGTAGCTGGTACTACAGGCCCATGCCACCAAGCCTGGGTAGATTTTTTTTTTTTTTTTTTTTTTTTGAGACGGAGTTTCGCTCTTGTTACCCAGGCTGGAGTGCAATGGCGCGATCTCGGCTCACCACAACCTCCGCCTCCTGGGCTCAGGCAATTCTCCTGCCTCAGCCTCCTAAGTAGCTGGGATTACAGGCATGTGTCACCACGCCCAGCTAGTTTTTTTGTATTTTTAGTAGAGACAGGGTTTCACCATGTTGACCAGGATGGTCTCGATCTTTCGACCTCGTGATCCACCTGCCTCGGCCTCCCAAAGTGCTGGGATTACAGGCTTGAGCCACCGCGCCCGGCCTGGTAGATTTTTTATATTTAAAAAAAATGTTTTGTAGAGACAGAGTCTTGCTATATTTCTCAGGCAAGTCTCAAACTCCTGGCTTCAAGTGATCCTCCCACCTCAGCCTCCCAAAGCACTGGGATTACGGATGTGAGCCACTGCACTCCCCTGCTAGGGCCCAGTTATTAAGCAGACTTGAATACGTAATCCCTCCCTAGGTAAAATAAATTACAATCTCTTCTGTGCTCTCAGAAAACTTTGTTCACACTGTTGTTCACAGCATTTACGTTTGTCGTAAGTTGGTGACTTGTCTGCCTCCCTCCTTCCTTCCCTCCCTCCTCCCTTCCCTTCCTCCACCCTTGCCTTCCCTCCCCTCCCCTCCCCTCCCCTCCCCTCCCCTCCCCTCCCTTCCCCTCCCCTCCCCTTTCTTTCCTTTCCTTTCTTTTCTTTTCTCTTCTTTCTTCTTTTCCTTACTTTCTTTCTGGTTTATGTTGTTGTTAAGGCCCAAGAGAACCAAGAGCTTGTCTTATTTGTCTTGTGTGACAATGTGGCATTCAGGTTGAGAGTCCAGACTCACCACACACACTGCTTGGTTGGTTTGTACTCTGACACTGTGACTCTCTGATTCAGTTTCCTCATTTGTAAAATTGGCAGATTCAACACCTACCTCATAGAGGTGTGAGAATTAAATGGTTTATATGGGCAAGTCTCTTAGAAAAAAAATCAGTACCAGGTATAAGTGCTAAGTGCTGGCTTATTATCTCCCTTTACCTAACTCAATGCCTAGCCCAACACACACTAGCTGCTTGCACATGTTTGTTGGGTAAATGAGTTCACTGAAGAATGTCAGGATGTTTTTTAAAGAGCATCTACTCTCAGGGGTAAAGTCAAATCTGTACAATATCCTTACTATGAATTGGCACATCGTTTTTACCTTAAATATGCCTCACTTTAGAAAACACAACAGAGAAAAAGAATTTCAAAACAATTGGCTTGTCACAAAAGTTTTTGATAGAGTGTTTTATTTGAATTTTTTTCTCTTACCAGCCAATGCTTTAATATAGACATGATCACTAGCTGCTTAAAGATGGATATCTTTTAAGAAAAACTGAATGCTAAAAGTTAATAAAAGCAGAATATTTACATTAACAAAATTTGATTTTTTTTTTTTTAAGGTAAAATACAATTATCATGGAAGGTCAGACCAGTATTTTGCTTGGAAAGCTCCCAAAGAAATACTTTATGGGAGGGCATGGATGCCTGTGCACGTGATGTCCTCTGGGAAAGTCAGAAGCAGACATAGTGGTTCTTTCTCCACATTGATAGAGCCTGGTCTGTTATGCTACGGCAGGAAATAAGTCTTTAAATGTGACAGCTGGACAGGATTTGGCCAAAACTTTTAGAACATTTCATCCAATTGGAAATTACTTTTTCCTTTGGGCTTGTCCATTTCACGTCCAGGGAAAGGGAAACATTATGCAGTAATGTGATGTTGTGCCATCATTCTTCCTAGTCTTCCAGGCATTAAATTTGCAGTGTCTTGATGTGCGAGGTCTCTCTGAAAGAGCTGCAGGGAAAACAGCTGGCCATAAACCACCACTTTAAACAGGCTTAGCTACATGATGCCTGGCTTGCTCAGTAAATCTTCCGGAAAGGGACTCTTTCTGTTGCTCAATGCTCAGCATGGAAACAAGATAAGGGAGCCAGAGGCTCCTGTAGCTCCTGCCCTCCCCTAGCCTCCACCAGACAATCTCACTGTTGAATGCACAAGGGAGAGGCTCTGAGAGGAGGGTACTGTCAGGCTAAGTGAGGGTGATGTAGGAACTGGAGGAGGACAAAGTGGGTCGGAGGAGATGAAATGGAAGGATTGTTGGATGGAAAATGGAAGAGGGCGTTTGAGATGGGGCTGTGTAAGAGCTGCATTTGCCTCCTGGTTGCAAAGGGAGTAGGTGGCTATTCATAAACAGATACAGGCCAGGTGGAGTGGAGCAGGCAGGGGCTGATTGCCGAGGACAAGTAATTGGTCTCCCTCCTGGTTTAATGCTCTGCTCTTTGTGTGCTCTCCCAGATGTTTTTCTGTTGCCATGGTGGCCGGAGCAGGGGTAATAGCCACAGAGCAGCAAAGACGAGGCCACTGAAGGCTTTTTGCTCTGTTTTAATACTGATTACAGGAGCTTCACATTTGGTGCATCTGGACCACTTCTGTAATGGCATTTAAAACTTTTCCATCTTCTGCATGCAGGCTAGCTTTTGCTCACCCTGAAGCCTGCGGGGAACCCGGATTATAAAGATAAATCCATGCCCACAACGGTGGGGCCATGCAGCCACTTGCTCTCTGGGAAATTGGGTGGGGGGTTATTCAGCAGGGAAAAAAGGAGAGGGAAGAGGAGGGAGTGACAAAACGGGAGGATCTTTCTGGATCACCTGTAGGGATGTTCAATTGTGTAGAAGGTTTATTTGTAGTAAAATTCCTGAAGTCAGGCATCTGCAGGAAGCTTTACATCCTACTGGAGGGTAGGAGGACGTAGCCTGCAGCTCCTGGAAGGCAAGCAGTGATGGCACGAAACTTACATCTGTGCCCAGCTTTCCTGGATTAGCAATGCCATTCAAGCTTGCCAAACCACAGGAAATTACACCAACTCACTGCTGCCAGGAACTCAGTTCCAGGTGTCTGCTGGTTGTGTCCCTCACTGAGGACCTGTGTTTCTCCAGGACAGACAAAAAGAGGCCTCTGATTGCCAAGGATCAGAAACCTCTGACTATTTGGTGGACTCCTACAACGTGGTTTGCTTTTCAATAGTTTTCACATCATAAAAGGTGCAGCAGGCCTATACTATCCACTCAACATCATTGCCTCATTTCTCTGTATGTGTGGGTTCACCTGCCAAATGAAACAGGGCTTCAGCTGGGACATCAGGCTCTAGTTCTCACCACTTGTTCATTCAGAGCCTGATGTGCATTAGAGCCATTTTGTAAACAGTTACCTGACTCTCACCTCAACCAACAGCAATTAAGAGCAAGCTTGTTGGAAGTTTCACTATGCTAAGTCCAAAAGACTGGACATGTATTGAACCCTAGTGCTGAACAACTGAGGTTAACACCTAATCGTTTATTCCACTGATATTGACTAGGCATTTACCAGGTACTGTGCTAGCTGGCTCGGAGCTGGTGGGGATACCACGATGAATAAGACAGACACAATCCCTGCCCCTTTGGACTTATGGTCTAGTGAGAGAGACAGACAGGAAAAAAAAAAAAAAATCAAACAGATGAATTGACCAATGAGAAATTGTGGCCAGTACTATGAAGGATGCAAGCAAGGTGCTGAGCTAGGGAGCAACAGGAAAGATGCGCCCTGCTTTCTATAGAGGAGGTGGGGAAGGCCTCCCTGAGGAAAGAGTATTTAAGCTGGGACCCTGAGGATGTGAGGGATCCAGCCATGCAAACAGCAGGGGTAAAAGGAAAATTCCAAGGGGAGCCCTTGATGGAAGAGCCCAGATCCTCCAGCATGACTAAAGCACAGTGCCGCAGTGATCAGCATGGGGTGTCACAGGAGATGAAGCAGCAACCTTTAGATCTGGGGCGTTTTACTGAAGGGGGCAGAGAAGCAAGCTCTCGTTTCACCCTCCCTTGCCTTCCCTTACCACTGTTTTCCTCTTCCCATGGATGTAAAAAATACAGATGAACATCTGATCTGAAGTGAGCGTTCTCGGCAGACCATCCACATCTTAAAGAAAGCAGATTTCCCACGGATTAGGGCCTCTTTTGAATGTGGCAATCTGCACTTGTTTGACTCTAAGTTAATGATCGCTCCTTTAAAAATGTTACTTAGTGTCATTTCGCTCTTTGTAAAGGAGCCATCAGCTGTGGTTGAAATTAAAAGTTGTTACAGAAGAACAAAACTAACATGACCTTTATGTTCATTTCTTTTTAGATGAACTGGGAAGTGAAAACCTGAAAGTGTAAGTTTTCCCTGCTGCTTCTGATCCAACTGGGGTGTGAACAGCAACAGGGCGAGAGGAGATTGGTGGGCAGCTGGCTTTTCAGTTGTTTTTGTTCTGACACTTTGTGGGCTCTCCTGCTTCCCAGGCCGGGCAGGAGATCACTGGCAGGGAAGGGGCGAATGTGCTGGCATCCCCAAACCCAATCCAGCGTGTGAGTGTGATTTGGGCAAGGACAGCATGACATCTGCTTTATTTCGATGTCCTACATTCAGAAAAAAGAATCCTGACTACTACCAATTTCAAGTGCATAGTAAATAGTCTATCCCTGGCTGTATTTCAAGGACGTCGGTTCATTTATTCTGATTAGAAATTTTATCACCAGGAAAGATACTTAAGCCGGTATTGAGCAGGAGAGCCTGGTAGAAGCATTAGTTTGCACAGCAAGAACCCCCGGGGATGGGAGAGAGAGGTGGAAGAAGGGAAGAATGGGAGGAGCAGGAGGAAGGGAGAGGAGGGAGGGAAGGAGGGGTGGGAGAAAAAAACAAGCCTCCACCCAGAAGCGTGTTCTGGGGTGATGCCATACCCTCCCCATCTTCCAAGCAGCCTCCTGGTTTAGAAACTGCTGCTTCCTCTGCACAGTGTACTGCCTACGCAGCTTTCAGAGCTGGGGTCCCTCCTTTCCCAACCCCATCTCCACTAACCAGGGGCTCTGTTCCCTGACTATGCACTTTGAACTTCTGCAATGAGCTCCATTTCTCCAAGAGAGAAAAGCCTGGGAATTGAAGGGACAGGTGATAACTGCAGCCTATTGACAGTGGCCTCTTGACCTGAGGCGCTGATCAAAAAACCCCAAGGAAGAGGAAGTGAAATTAAGCAAGGTTAAAATGCTAAATGTGACACCTCCCCGGAAGGGCCTCACCCTGGGAGGCTTGCAGATTTGACTTTGCACCTTGAGGGGAGCGGTCAGTCTCCTGGGTTCCCTTTTTAGTCCACTTGCTGGGCCTGTGGGCACCCACTTTTGGACCAATGATGGATGGATGTTTGTTTTCGTGGTAGTCTTTCTTCCTATTAAAGTTTGATTGCCTGGAAAAGGGCAAGCCCCCAGGCTTTGTTAGAGAATAGGGCACTAAATCAACTTCATTGTCCTCAGGTTCAATATTCTAGTCTCTTTCCAAATGAAATTAGGCACATTTCACATTTCTTTCCAACAAGCCTTTGCTCTCTATTTCTAGGCCTATTTTTGAGGAAGATACACCCTCTGTTATGGAAATTGAAATGGAAGAGCTTGATAAATGGATGAACAGCATGAATAGAAATGGTATGTGGTAACCTAAAGTTGTTTCTTCTTTCCTCTCTAGTAACAGAAAGCTGCAATAGCTTTATAAATATCTCAATAGAGCCGGGCGCGGTGGCTCAAGCCTGTAATCCCAGCACTTTGGGAGGCGGAGGCGGGTGGATCACGAGGTTGAGAGATCGAGACCATCCTGGTCAACATGGTGAAACCCCGTCTCTACTAAAAATACAAAAAATTAGCTGCGCATGGTGGCGCATGCCTGTAATCCCAGCTACTTAGGAGGCTGAGGCAGGAGAATTGCCTGACCCCAGGAGGCGGAGGTTGCGGTGAGCCGAGATCGCGCCATTGCACTCCAGCCTGGGTAACAAGAGCGAAACTCCGTCTCAAAAAAAAAAAAAAAAAAAAAAATCTCAATAAGGCCTGGAGTGAGACAGAGCCCAATCCCACACTGGATCTGGCGCATGCAGATAGTAAACTGGGTCTGACAATACTTAATATTCAGCTCAATTGTTGCCACTTGTTTTCATTTCTGTACAAGTTGTTGAAATGGTCTTTTTGAAGCAGAAAATGGTCTTTTATTCAAGAAAGGAAATCTCTGAAACCAAATTATCTGGAAAAAGTTGGCATCTGGTATTACCTTATACATTACAGAATTTAGAGATCTATAATTTTGAACTGACTCTGGATGTAAAACTTTATCAAACATAGTATCCATAGATTTGTGCCGTCTGACGTAATAGATACTCACCAAATGTGGCTACTTAAATTTAAATTAATTTAAACTAGATAAAATTTAAAATTAGGCTTAAGTAGCCACATGCTGAGGCTTTAGTAGCCAATGGCTACTAAATGAACAGTGTGAATCTAGAACGTTTCTGTCACTTTAGAATGCTCTATTGGACCTCGTCATATAGATGGTGATATACGTACCACATATAAAAATTTCCAATTGATATCTGGCAGTAATGGAAGTGTATGTTCCTTATTTTTTAGTAAATCAATAATGGGACTTTTAAATGATGGCAGCTGTTTTTTCTTTTTTTAAATTTCTTTTACAAATTAATAAATTATTTTTACTACTTATATTAAATTAATATACCCCAGCATTATCATATAATTTGCTTTTTTTTTTTTTTTTTTTTTTACCCTTTATCTTTAAAAAATACCCTAGGGTCTGTCAAATTCAACACTGTATAGTAGAATTCTAAATTCAGAGACTGGTTATAAGAATTACTACTACCAGAGGCCTATCACGATATGATTTCAAAAAAGAACCACTCAGATAACTTGTACAATTTCTAACAGTTTTTCATATTGAGGAAAGAATGACTCTGTAAAGCCATTCTGTTCGAAGATGGGGCAGGTCATTGAGGTCAGGAATCTCATTTTGTTGTTTTCAGTTGCTAAAGTAATATGCATACATAGTAGAACTTGACAAATGCAAAAGAAAAAAAAGTAGAAGAAAAAAATTCACCACATAAAGGCAATCTCTTCTTACTATGATGATGTATTAGGTTTTGTGCTAGAGATTTTGTGTAACATAAAATCATGGTCCTGACATACTCACTAAAACCAGAAAACTGGGAAAGGCATTTCTATTTGACAACTAGAGCTGAGTGATTTTGACACATAGGTGATAGACTCAAATCACGTTTTTGCCCTTAAAAATAATGAGTGGTGTAATAGAAAAGAACTTACGACCATAAGATGATTGGTTGTTTTCCCATGTTACCCAATTCTTTTCTACTATGCAATCTGATGGGAATCATTCTGCAGACACATGAGAACCTCAGGCGAAGTCATCTTATTCCAGTGTCTATCCTGAGGCATGCAGATTCTAGCTTTTGGAGCACCAGGGTGCCACAAGGACAGAATAACCAAGCAGTGATGAACTGTGTCCTTTCCGGGGGCAGAGGCACATTGAGGTTTTGTATCTGTGTTATTAGTGCTTTCTCCATTTCAAGGGCTTTGCCATCATTAATCTTTTCGCCACTATCACTCCTTGGTGAGGCCATTTTTGCACATGTAACCACACAGGTCACAGAACTACGGTATTTAGCTGTATCAGGTTTGTGGATAGAAAATAGAATTTCAGTAATTAACAGTGAGTTTGCTTTTATTTTGTCCTAGCTGACTATGAATGTTTACCTACCTTGAAGGAAGAAAAGGAATCAAATCACAACCCAAGGTACTTCTCATTTCTACCACAGATTGCATGTATCTGGCAGGAAGGGGATTGGGAGCCACGGTGGAGCACTTTTTCCTTGTCTTCTTCATTCCTGTAAATTGTATGCGACAATTTACACGGGTGTATATGTACATAGTGTGGAGAAGAGGTAGTGTGAGTTACAGAAAATAGAAGGCTATGAAGTAAATATCCTAGGGCTCTTTATCTTTAGAAATAAATTAGTTTTGACATTTTCTTGCCCTTCTAAAGAGACACTGTTGCCTTGGCCTCTGTTTTAGTCGTAAAACTTTCCAATTATGACAAACCATAGGTTTGTTTACCTTGGATAAATAGATGTTTAGTAAGGAAAACAGATGGAGGTGACCGTTTTAAAGTGGGTCACTAACTATAAACTAGAGGGAGAAAATAAATGGGAATTTTAAAAAATGTTCCATTTTTACCGCTAGGTGGCTCTGCTTGATAGAAAATTTTAGTGCACTGGGGTTTGGGTATAGTTTAGTACTCCACGATCTCATTTAAATTGTATTTTCTTTTGTGAGGATAGAAATGACCACGTTTGGGGTGTTTTGATTAGAGAATTGTTTTGTCACGACATGGGACATGTTGTCGGGAAAAAGAATTAATGATTCAGCAGATTGGGACTTGCTCTGCAGAGCTCAGCTGTGATCTTGGAGGTAGCAAGCTGTTGGCAGCAATCACTCATGGATACCCAGAGAGAAGAGAACTCGAGCCTATGCCTGAGATATTCCACTTCTGTTGGAATAAATGGGATAAACCTGCAGGCAGGATAAATACTCTCCCCGCATTGTTCAGCAGAGGTCTGGTGCCAGTCATCTTAAATGCTTCCAGACTGCAATCATCCATCATTGGACAATCCCCGAAGCCTGAGCATTGCAAGAGAATACTGATTATTAGGCAGGGGTTGGGGCAGTCAGATGTTTATCTTTGGACCCTTTTTCTACATCTCTTCCCTAAACCTTACCTAACAATTCACCATCCTAAATGTCTCCTCACATCACAACACCACGGTCCTTACTCAGACAAACCTCAGCTCTGATGCCAAAGTCTATACCTACTGTAGATTTAGGTCAATATCACTGCCCTAGGTATTTCCATGTTAATATTCTTTGCCAGTTCAGAAAGGATTCGATCCTATTTAAAAGAGAGTCCAGGCCATGCTTGGTGGTGCTTGCCTGTAGTCCAACTACTTGAGAGGCTTAGGTGAGAGGATTGCTTGAACCCAGGAGTTCAGGCTTGCAGTGAGCTACAATTGTGCCACTGCATTCCAGCCTGGGCAATGAGTGAGAGCAAGACTCTGTCTCTAAAAAGGAGAGAGAGAGGGAGAGAGAGAGAGAGAGAGAGAGAGAGAGAGAGAGAGAGAGATTGATTCTAGATATTAACAAGCAGGTGGAAGAAAACAAAATGCCAGGGGAATATAACAAAGGAATATTTTCCCCATGTTTTGACCTTACCTTGAAATGTGTAACTATATATGTCTGGTATAGGGCTGAGATCACCACTAAAACTCCATAAATATCTTAAATATCTTATTCTATCACTGATGAGCACCCTCAGCATGCCAAAAACCACTATCAGTGGTTTTTTACATACCTACCTTTTGCTCTTTGAAATTGTTGGCAACATGGAAGAAGCTTAACATTACAGAACTGTATGGCAGTGAAAGCTTCTTAAAAATTAGATTTTTGGGCCGGGCTTGGTGGCTCATGCCTATAATCTCAGCACTTTGGGAGGTCAAGGCGGGTGGATCACAAGGTCAGGAGTTCAAGACTAGCTTGGCCAAGATGGTGAAACCCTGTCTCTACTAAAAATACAAAAATTACTCAGGCCTGGTGGTGGGTGCCTGTAATCCCAGCTACTCGGGAGGCTGAGGCAGATAATTGCTTGAACCTGGGAGGCAGAGACTGCAGTGAGCTGAGATTGCACCACTGAACTCCAGCCAGCCTGGAAGACAGATTCAGACTCTGGCTCAAGAAAAAAACAAAAAACAAAACAAAAAAACCCCCAGATTTTTGGCCAGGCACGGTGGCTCACACCTGTAACTCCAGCACTTTGGGAAGCTGAGGCGAGTGGATCACCTGAGGTCAGGAGTTTGAGACCAGCCTGGCCAGCATGGTGAAACTAAAAATACAAAGTTTACTCTACTAAAAATACAAAAATTAGCCAGACATGGTGTCAGGTGCCTCTAATCCCAGCTACTTGGAAGGCTGAGGCAGGAGAATTGTTTGAACCTGGGAGGTAGGCGGTGGGGGTTGCAGTGAGCCGAGATTGCACCATTGCACTCCAGCCGGGGCAACAAAAGCGAAACTCCATCTTTAAAAAAAAATCAGATTTTTGAAATAATGAAAAAATTTGCTAGAGCTTTTACATAACTGCTTTATATTAAATTATTGTTTTAAAAGGAAATGTCTACATTCCTCTGTGGGTCCAGAGCTGTCTGGCACTCACAGGATGACTGCCAGGCCTTCACTTTATGCCCTCTCAGTGATGCCAGCACCAGCATTTGAGAACCAAGAATGGCAAATCCCAGATCTTTGTGCCACTGGGCATGTTCTGATTACTTCAAAGGTTATTATGATATTGCAAAGTGAATTTTTTATTCACTAAAAAAATCTAAGAAAAGTGCAATGCATTTAGACCAAAGCTCAGCATAAAGTAAGTTCTCAACAAGCGCTGGTTATGACTATTATCATTATTAGGAAGTTAAAACTGATGTACTGAAACTCTCTGCCTTTTGGGCTAAGAAGCCTGTATCCTAAGACCCAGCCACATCCGTTTTAGTGGATGAAGCATTATTTTTCTTCTAGTGTTCCCTAGTGGTTTCTTTCTGGACCTACCAATCCTGGGAAACCAGGAATTGGTTTGATCTACTATGAGACTCAGTTCTCCTTCATTGCTGGCATAGACCAATTAATGTTGGTGATTTCAGAATAGTCCACTTATCACTCTGGAGTTTTCTGGTGTTTTGTTTTGAGACAGAGTCTCGTTCTGTTGTCTAGGCTGGAGTGCAGTGGTATGATCACGGCTCACTGCAGCCTCAACCTCCTGGGCCTAAGCGATTCTCCCAACTTAGCCTCCCAAGTAGTTGGGACCACAGGTTTGTCCACCATGCCTGGCTAATTTTCTTTTACTTAATTGTGGACACAGAGTCTCCTTATGTTGCCCAGGCTGCTTTCAAAGTTTTGGGCTCAAGCAATCCTCCTGCCTTGGCCTCCCAAAGTGTTGGGATTGCAGGAGTGAGCCACTGCACCTGGCCCAGTCAGGAGTTTTTAAAAGGATATTAGCACCTTAAAGTTTGGATGAGCTTTCTTTTCTGTCATGATCTTGTATACATTTCTTTTTCCTATCTTGATGTTTTAATCACATTGATAATCCATAAAATGTTTATTTTGAGTATCTACCCTGGGACAAAAATAAGATTTCTTTTTTCACTATAAGCTTGTGAATTGTTAGAGATACAGGTGGAAAGTGCCTTCGTGGATCATTGGACTTAGAAGACTTATTTTCAGACCTAATTTGAATGCTTGTTTGTTCTTTAGACTAAAACAAGTCACTTTAGCTCTTTGAGTTTTAATTTATTTGTCTTGAAAAATGGAAATAAGAACATCTGTCCTTCTAGTTTCACAGGATGATATAAGAGAATGAAACCACTAGCTAGGTTTTATTTTTGTTTTTATTTTTATTTTTGAGACGGAGTTTCACTCTTGTTACCCATGCTGGAGTGCAATGGTGAGATCTTAGCTCATGCAACCTCTTCCTCCTGGGTTCAAGTAGTTCTCCTGCCTTAGCCTCCCAAATAGTTGGCATTACTGGCGGAGGTTGCAGTGAGCCGAGATTGTGCCATTGCACTCCAGCCTGGGTAACAAGAGAGAAACTCTGTCTCACAAAAAAAAAAAAAAAAAAAAAAATTAGATTTTTGGGCCAGGCTTGGTGTCTCATGCCATAATCTCAGCACTTTGGGAGGTCAAGGTGGGTGGATCACAAGGTCAGGAGTTCAAGACCAGCTTGGCCAGGATGGTGAAACCCTGTCTCTACTAAAAACACAAAAATTACCCAGGCCTGGTGGTGGGTGCCTGTAATCCCAGCTACTCGGGAGGCTGAGGCAGATAATTGCTTGAACCTGGGAGGCGGAGGTTGCAGTGAGCTGAGATTGCACCACTGAACTCCAGCCTGGAAGACAGAGTGAGACTCTGGCTCAAATTTTTGGCCAGGCACAGTGGCTCACACCTGTAACTCCAGCACTTTGGGAAGCTGAGGCGAGTGGATCACCTGAGGTCAGGAGTTTGAGACCAGCCTGGCCAGCATGGTGAAACTAAAAATACAAAGTTTACTCTACTAAAAATACAAAAATTAGCCAGACAAAATTAACCAAGCCTGGCTAATTTTGTATTTTTAGTAGAAAGAGGGTTTCACCACATTGGTCAGGTTGGTCTCGAACTCCTGACCTTAGGTGATCAACCCACCTCAGTTTCCCAAGTTTTGAGATTCCAGGCGTGAGACACTGTGCCCAGCGGTAGGTAAGTTTTAAAGCACCAGGCAAGTGAAACTAATTATTTTTATGCAGTAGCAACAGTTCTTCCCCCTCCCACACTGGCATCTTAAAAGATGATTTTTAGGGCAGTTTTAGGTTCACAGCAAAATTGAGCAGAAACTAGAGTTCCAATATACCCTCTACCCTCACACATGCACAGCCTCCCCCATAATCAATGTCCCTCATTAGACTGATACATTTGTTATGATCAATAAACCTACATAGACACACCATTATCACCCAGAGTTTTCCATTGGCTTTTACCTTGTGCCTGATTCTTCCTCTGTCATTGAAATAGTACACATGTGAATTTAATGCTTCACAAAGTATGTGACAGCCATTAAAAATTGAATTTAGTGGAAAACACACTTCTCCATTCTCCTGATAAATGAAGACTTCTGGAATTCATTTACAGGGTTTTACTTTCCTTGATGCTAGAAAGACATCCCTG